AAATCCCACATTTGATAGGCAAGATTTCTGCGTCACTCACATAGAGGACAAGAGTTCATCATGTTACTCCACCCTCAAGAAAAGCCAAGAAAAAGCTCTTTCTCAGGGCTACTACCAGAGGACATAGTGGCATTCCTTAAATATCAGGAAGGAATCGCTGCAGGTGAACTACTCTCCTTGGACACCAGGACAACTAAAAGACCCCTGTGCTTTCTGCAGAACGTGGATGTTTTTTCAGAGAAGCTAGGCTGCCATAGCCATAACAGCCTAAGCAACTGAGATTCAAGGTTTGCTGCAAGAAGTCATTTTACTAAAATTCCTTCCCTTAAAATAGTCAATCTTCATGCAGCGGTCTAGGACACGAGGCCCTGTCTGATGCTCTCCTGTTCTGGAGTTTGTTGTGGGGCAGAAAGTGGGTAAAAATAATCTCATCTTAGTAGTGGAAAATATTCTTGGAAGCAGAACTAGCAAAAACACTTTTCTTCTTCCCACAGGTGTTGTAAGGTTCTTTATCTGCTCAACCTCCCTCCACAAACTCACTCAGTGAAGGCAGTTCTACCATTAGGTAATTTTGCATGCAGATAGCATGGAGATTAGTATTATTTAATTCCACCTGGAATAGGGGAAAGGCTCTAACTCTACTAGCTACCACTGTGAGCTCCTCAGCACATGAGCGTTCAGCCTCCTGTAAAAAGTCCTTGTTTCTTTGTATGTTTTTTAAATAATACTCAAACATCATAAAAGGTGATTAAAAAAAAAACTTTTCAGAAAGGAGCATGAAAACAACCATGGAACAAAATTAGAAAGCTAAGTCTGTCAAGCCCCACAACTGCATCAGGTTCAGATTCACACTCGTTTACAATAGTTTGGTCCCTCGCAAACTTCTCAGCAGTTTGTACCATGCTGGTATGTTTTTTCCCCTCACAGATGTCTTCCTGAGGTGAGGAACATTTAAGGTCTTCTCCACTGATAACAACATATAGCATACTCTAAATGTATGGCACTTTTGCATAAGAAAGGAGTAACATTACTTAACAGCCAGTCTTGGGCACATAAAAAAAAAAAATCTAAAGCAGTGTTGCATTATATTATCTTACCAGAAAAACCAAAACAGTAGCTAATAGACTTGGAAGAAGGTCTCACAGAATGGTACTTAATAAATAATAGATGCTGGGGATGCAGCCCCTCTGAAACTGCAGCATATTGACCGTAAATTTAGTTCTGATTTTGTTTTGGAAGCACTGAAATACTGTCTTATCTCTGCACCATTTGTAAATATATTTGGAATTTCTGTAGTATCAGAGGAGGAAAATACGTCAGTATATTTACCCAGTGATAAATGCTTGAACTAAAACATAAAATTAAAAAAAAAAAAACACACTAAACTAGCTAGAAAATTCCATTGTTAATATTAAGATAAATAGCTCTTTGGAGGAGGCAGTGCATGAAAAGTTTTGCTTAGTTCTCTTTTACTAAATGATAGTATAACTTCAAAGAATTCCTCCATTTATGGTTGGTAAAAAAAAATTAAAAAAAAAAAAATCACACACTATTCTAGAAGGCAGCTGTGTGAAAAAATCCTTAAAAATAAGAAACAAGGATAATTATTTGCAACCTGCAGCCAATGTGAAATGTGTCAAAACTGTGGTGATCCACATCTGAACTTGTATTTTGTCATAAGTAAAATGAGTCTTTTCTGTTCACTGTTGCTACTACCTGCCACATCTCTGCATCAGAGCATGGCACAATTCAGTATAATTGGGAGCCTCCAGAGAAGATGAGGTAACTAGAATACAGAAGGGAGAAGATCACAATGCATGTCAGGGATGAAATCTATTGAGTAAGTTTACACGTGCTCTTTCTTTGCCTGCCTTTCTTTTCACCAACTTCTGAAATCAAAGCAGTAAACACAAATGTTATTCGATTTTCCCCTCAGTAAAAACAAAATACAAAAAAACAACCCCAGAAAGTCAAAAGGCAGGCAGTCCTCTCTTTTAGCTCACATCCCACTGATACTTCTAATGCATTACTAATAATGCCAAGTCTACAAAACACAGGCTAGTATGAAACACATAGCCTTATTATCAAAGCTGGAATTATATAACATCTTAGCTCTTGAATAAATAAGACATCTCTTTTTCTAGACCAAAAAAAAATAATATTTTTTTCTACCAAGCCCCTCACAGAACCCATTGACATATTTATAAAATCATTTAGCCTTCACCACATGATCCCAGTACAGCATCCATTCATCTGTAGTTACCACAGCTGAGGACACAAACTGTTCTATTTGCTTCTTTGCATGGCTGCCACAGTGCAGTCTAATAGAGATGTACCATCTTAGATTTTCAGAGACACATCCTTTTGCATTTCTAAACTGATAAAGGAATGATAGATGGGCACGCATGTATCTTTACAGGAATACCTATGCTTGTAGTAAAAGCATTATAACTTACTATAAATAGAACTGAAGAGAACTTTCACTAGTTTATGTTATGTCTGATAGGCTCAAAGAGCTTAAGAAACAGCTGGAGATAGATGAGACATTGGAAGGAGCTGACAGTTTCTTCTTGGAGGGTAAATTCAGAATCTGATGTGCTAAAACAAAAAAAATCCTTCTGCTGAGCAAGAGCTGTGTATGTATGGGACAGTCATGAACTATGCACTTGAACAACTGCCCTTCAGGAATGAGAAATGTGGTGAGCGATTATCAGAGGCGCAATATTTATGGTGACATGACACAAAAGATGGGAGGAATTCATGGGCTATACACACATTACAAGAAAGTCTGGCCTGGATGTAACTAACAGGATACCAGCAAAGCCTAGAGGGAAAAAAAAACCTACCAAGATTGCTTTCTGTGCGTTAGAGCTGGCTTCCACACAGACACAAAAATGCAGTTCTGAAACATCGGAACTAACGAAGCCCACATACCTACATATCCACAGCTCACGGGTGATTGACTTCAGCATGCAAAAAGGTGCAAGAGCGAAGGTTAAAGCTTTTCCTATCATGAAGACATTTAAGAAGTCTAGCTCTCCCCTATTCTCCCTAGGTAACAAGGAAAAGAAGTGTCTCTCTTCCATCAGCTACTTACTCCATCCAACCCTCAAGAACAGTGTCTTTCAGATTCCACTCCTCTGTTAAATTGGACTGAAACTGGCTCACAAACTCACATCTCTTGCTGACGGAGGGAAAGATTAAGTGACAGCACTGATAAAATGAGGACATCACTGGCAAAATAGTCATTTTTATATCCAATTGAATTAAACATAAACTGCACAGCAGTAAGCCTTCCCCATCACCTCTTTTCCTCAGAGTTCATAACTGATTTTGGTCTTTAGAAACAGCAAGATACCAGACAAGCAAAAATATGGAATGCTTTAAACGTGGCAAAAGAGCTTTTAGGGACCAACAACAATTCAAAGAAAATTGTTTCCTGCTGTGTTGGAAAAGTGTATCATCAAGAACGAAGAAGAGGTTACCCACTTAGATATTACTGTTATCCATTACCCCTTTTCCTCTGAGTGCTACACGCTAAGGCAGCCGCAGCAGCACAGTCTGTCCACATGGTCAGTGGAACACCTGACTCGCATTTGGTCTTTTCTTAACGTTTTCTTTCTTACCTTAAAACAAAATCACTAACTGTACAGATTTTACTCCCTTGCTAAGCAAAGCATTTAAATAAGAGATCCTTATCTCCACCTTCTGAAACGGTGAGCTGAGCTAATTCCCGGTCGTTCTATTTTTCCTTCTGTTTTTACCTCCCTTCCACATGCACAGCAGGAAGCATTTTGTGGATCCTTCTCCCTTTGATACATGATTTATCTGGCTGTTTCCACCACTTTTTTGTGTATTCTGTTACCCTATGGCCTTCAAGTCACCAGAATTCTCTGTTCCTCAACTTTCAGTCCTCTGAAAACATAACCCTCCTACCGTTACATTTTATAAGACAATTTTCAACTTCCGCTCCAAGTCTTCTATTTTTCCCTCTATATTTACATTAGGTATAAGTACAACTCAAAGCAATTATCCTTACAGCCCTGAAACCACATCCTTTATTCCTGTTTTTGTTCTGAACAGCTTCTTCTTTTCAGAAGTAATGCTACTTGAAGAGTGGCTTTCAAGGTGCACAAGAGGCTGCTTCTACAACATGTCAGTCATAACACTTCCATCAAGGCTACATAACCAAGAATATTTTTTTCCTATTACAAGCTGATATTCAAATGGGATAGTAACATGAACAGGCTAAAATAATTCTATCCAACTGTAAGGAAACACCTGTTTTGCTTATCTGCATCTCAAGACCACATCAGCAGTGAGAAAGAACTGAAACACGCCAGTATGTACGTACCTTTAAGAAGAGAAGAGCTTTTCTGACTGTTGAGAAGGAAAATGAAGAACATCACCCAGAAGGAAACAGGAGTCATTATCTGGAGAGCCACTTAACTGTATCTCAGCCTATTTGCATGTCCTGTTATTTAAAATGCAGCCATTGCTTTTCCAGTCCTCCCCTTCCATTTTCCTCCCCAAGACTCCTTTGAAAGAGTCTGGACCTGCAGAAAAAATACATCTTGACGCCACACAATTATTTTTTTTCTTATCAGTTAGTTACCAGTTCACATTGTTCCTCAAGTACTTTTACGTATAATGAGCGCTGAGTAAAATTTAACTTGCATTTAGGAAAAAAATGAAATACAACTAGATATTTTTCTGGAGTTAACAGAAGAACATGACCAGCTCAGCTAGTGTATCTCAGTTCTATTTCAGCAAACATGTTTGTTACCTTTGAATGTTTGTGCACCTGATTTTGCTTCTCCTATTCACAAAAAACCCCACACCTTCTGACATAAAATTATATAGCAATGTACAGTATACAAGAATCTGGTTTGAACTGTCAAATGGCATTTACTCAGAAATATCGTTATATATGAAAACCACAAGTATAATATTTCAGTTGTGGTACACTGGAAAAGGAGGAAGAAATACAGTTAAGACTGTTTCTATTTCCATATACAACTTTTATTGCAATACCTGCATTCTAAGTGTACAGATACAAACATTAAATGACCCTTGACAGACTTTAAACCTGCCCAGATAGCAAACTGAGAAATTCATTCAGCATTAGAACCGGGATTGACAAGACTTCAGCAGGTGATAGGAAGCTTCCCCAGTCTCTCTCCAAGAACAACCAGGATCCACCATATTTTTGGTCCAAGATGTATGCTTTAAGTTGGCAGCTGAGTCTATGAACGAGTGTATTTACCCCAGATGTGCAGCATAAACACAGAAGCAATAAAAAGAAGACTCATGACCAAAACTGGAACAGGCCCACTAAAAATAAAGAAAAAAAATGCATTAACATTAAAAAAAGTCTGTTTTGTCCAAAGACCAGTCATTATCAGCCAAGTGAATTCATCGGTTCATCAGCAACCATATGAGAAAATTCTTATTCCGTTCCCACAGAATCTTAAAGTACACTGAAATGAGACAGCCACCTCTAACTAAAACTGCGCTGCCCCTATGTTCTTAAAGATAGTTTTACACACCCTAAATGTTACGTAACTATAAAGCAAAACATAATAACAAAACCCCAAAATTATTTAAAAAGTAACGATTCATTACCGCTCATCATTGTGAAAACAAATTCCAGAATATTATCATCTGTATTTACTACTCAGTTAGCCACCTGAGCAGAGATGTAGTCATATACAAAAACCAAGAGAGGCCTCTAGCGGCTAGTAAAACTTTGGCATAAAATTCACATCAGTTGTTCTTTCAGAGGTTTTATTTCATTTTAAAACACTGGCAGCACTGGGTGAGAGACAGGGACTTCTGTTTTCTCAAAAAAAGATACGCAGAATGTCCAAATTAGCTCCATCATTAAATCACTGCCCAAAACATTACCCACAATGTATATATTCTTATTTATTTTTTCCTTCCCTCCTGCTTTTAGACATTGTTTAGAAATTGTATAGTGATGTTATTAAAAAACAGTTCAATTTCAGGGTGAGTGTTGAGAGACTAAATCAGCTGTTTCAAACTGTTTGGAAACTACAGTTACATACACTACTACATAATTACACACACTCAACTGTGCTTCACACTACTCATTTCATGCAATCTCATTTCTGATTTTTAATCTGCTGTTCAGAGAAATACCATGAGTTCTGTTATCCAGCCTGGATTAACCCTCCAGGTTACGGCTTAGAAGAAGAAGGTAAATGTTACTTGAACACAAAATAAAAAAGAAACTGAAAATAGATTGAAACAATTTACTAACGTATATTCTGTGAGATCGTGGTCCAGGTACTTCAAATGTTCATAAGTGTAATCTTACACTGAGCTTTAAAACTCAGTTATTATCTAGGATACTTAGACTTATTTGGGTATGGACACCCTGAACACAGACATAAAGCATTCAGCAAATAAACCAATAACAAAACATGCAAAATCAAAAAAGTTCCCCCACACAGCGACTACATAAGGAACCGCTACCAAGGGATGTCCTTCACTAAGCAACAGAATGAACTTCTCAATCCCCAGTGTTGCATAAATGTTTGAAGTTTACATCCTACATGACATAAATCATAATGATATCAAGTGCACAAAGTCCTTTACACTTGTACCTGAATTACCAACTCATTTGAGCCTTTAGTAGTAGTGACACATAAGCTACTTTTTGCCAAAGGCACACAGGAATAGAGAAGCACCACTACCAGAATGGAGGGATGTGGAAATAAACAGGGTGAATTGTTTGTGTGTTTGGTGGGGTTTTAAAACATGCAGATGACATTCATCCTCTTAGAGAACATTATCAGCGTTCCAATACTGACGTGAGTATCTCACTTCCCATAGTCCCAAAAACGACCTGCAGAAACCCTGCAGTTCTCCTCCATACACGCTCGCATCTCCTCGGCCCACCAGGCAGTTTAAATAAATGAATAAATAAATCTATTCAGGCACCTCTAAAGATTTGGTACTCTGCATTCACAGAATGTCTTTCATAAGGCTGCTTGTTAGACCACAAGCCTGGTTTGATTATCATGGCTCCGCAGGAAACAACACCTACAATTCTTTAAGAAAGCTCAAGACAAGATACATGAACCACAGGTACCAAGAGCCACAGAAAGAGCAACAAGTTTGGGTTTAGTCTTTTTTTAAGGTATGCGACGCTTGATCTGAGTTTTAAAGAGAAAAATACCATATCCAGCTCTCAACCAGATCCCCCACAGCTCTCTTCTGCTAATATTTTAAAGACATACATATTTTGTCACATCCTGTACTACAGATAAATGTATTTTCCAGAGGCAAACCAAACTTGCTTATTCAATATATTTATTATTCCTCATGTTGAGTACACACATACTAAATAGCTGAAGCGTCAGAGGTATAATTACGCACAACATAAAATAAAAAACTTTTCATCTACAGCAGAATTCTCCTCATCATAGCTAGAGTGAAATAACATGTTCTTAGGTGGATTTTCCTTGTAATTTTAAGAGCTTGTACGTTAAACATGAGAAAACAAAAAAAAAAAAAATCCCACAATCAGGCTAAACTCTCACACTGCTTTATGCAGTAGTGATCACAGCCATTTTTAAAAACAACTTCAGCTAAAGTACTTTACTGAGGCAACTACAACTCCTCTACAATCCATTTTCATTTTTAGCTCACCAAATAGGACAGAGATCACAAGATGTGGATGATATAGAAAAAACATAGAAAAATACATGTAACGTTGTAAGCAATAAAGTTGCTCCAGAGACGTGGTTCAGAAAACGTTACATATAGCGTGCAAGTGATTTGCAAAACCAACTCACTTTTTTTCTTCCATTGAAAGCCTGACCATACAGCTACCCAAGGTATCTTGCACAAAAACTCCACCCTAAACTAACAAAAAAAACCCCACACCAAACAACAAACACCCTTAGTGTTTCAAAACACTGAAACTGAGAACCACTGTACTGCAGCATAAATAGAAGGGAAAAATCTATCTACAGACCTATTTGTATCAAGAACTAGAACAATCAAGTGGTCATTCAACATCAAAAGTGAGGCAATTACAGAATATAAATTGTACCCAGCCTTTTTAACCCACTATTGCCTCTAAAACTACCTCTCTAAGTTTACAGATAAAACAATCTGTCTCTCATCTGTCTAAGCAGCCACCAATTCAGCACGCTTTTCTTTTCAGGCCAGAACACTGATCTCTCAATTCACAGACTGAAAGGTGACCTATATGGCCTCCATGTCTGCCACCACCCTTATATCCAACTTACACTTTGAGTCCTGGAGAGTCCTCGGTGTAGAATCGCCACATCCCACCAGTACCCGTGGAAGTGGCACGGCCCGCACTTCTTGTCCCGCAGCTGGCATTCTTCCTTCAAGGGACACCAGAAGGAGACAAAGACCAAAGGCACGTCAGGAGCCCACCCGCTTCCAGCGCTAAGCCGAGAG